CTAACTTCGGGAATTCTCGAGAATTCAATGCGTATAACTGTTTAGGGCGTCTGTTGAGGGGGGGGGGGGGGGTTTGGTGACGATCGGTGATAATATTGCTAAGATCCAGTCACGATTCGTGGATGGTATAAGCATTAGGTTGTTGACAATGGCCGGGTAATCGGATGTTACGGTGATGATGTTCGGGTTGTAAATGACATGAAGATTCTGGCTTAAGCCGTTTCATCTGGGAGTTCATTATCAGTCAGTCAGTCTGTTATTCATTACTCTTTTATATATAGAATATATATAAAATGAGTACATTTGGTACATGGTATTTAAGTGTTGGTAGAACTATACAATTTGGTAGAAAGTTTTGGGTTTTGAAAATGTTTAGAATATGTGTACAAATAAGTGGAGCCATTGAAAAAAGTCCAGTATATGGGGTTGTTTGTGAATAATAAAATGCATTAACAATCTTTATTTTACAGACATGAGTTTAGAGTGGAAGAAAGGACACAAATCGTACAAAAATGTTTATTATAAAAATGTACAATTTTACTTTTAAGTTTTTAAAAATTGTTTAATTTTTTTTGTTAACGAACGTCAAGGATAACTTCCAGGCTCTCCTCTACACACAACGACAGCATTTACACATATAAACAGTCTCATTTGCGAATAAAAATATATGTTCGCTTAATGTGTATGTATGTGTGCACTAAATGTTAATGTGATTATAATTTGCTATGGCCATGATTAGATTTAATGATCTCCATGGCAATATTGCTTTCGCTCGTTTACAGCACTTTGTGACATGTCTGGACGAATTAAAACTCCATTTCATTTCATTCCATTCATAGCCGAGTGAAATAAAAGTTTATGATTACCGTTACTGTTATGCAAAAATTATTCGGCTAAACCCAACCTTAGTCTTTCTTTCTCCAGCATAACGCATCTGCATTTTCGGGTGTGTTATATAAAAGTAATAATAACCAATTAAAACAGCCAACAGCTAAAAGCCAAAAGCCCGAAACTGAAAGCGAAAGAAAAGAAAATTTAAATTTAAGTGGAAAAGCATTTAACAACCGAACATCACACGGTTTATGAGGTAAAAGTTGAACGAAACATGGAAAAGAGAATTCCTACAAAGACCCCGTTTCGAAATTCCAAATTTCGGCCACATCAGACGGGGAAGGTTAATCAACTATCGGACAAAACTTCTAACCGGAAATGTGCAAGACTCGTTTCAACCATAAATTCTTGAAAAGAAATGCTGCCAAAGAATAGGCCAACCTTATGAGCTACTGTAGAGATGAATGGCCAGAGAGTGGATTGGGAATCGGATGTCAGTGGCAAGCATTCAGAAATTAGTCTCATTGTTGCTGATGTTGTGCGTTTCGACCATAGCGTTGTTGTTGAGTTTTAATTTTATTTTTCGTTGTACCAGAACACATTCTCACATACTTTTATAGATGTACTACGAACATACATGCAAACACATTTTGTTGTAACTGAATTCATATTTCATGTTTTGTTGAGCGTAAAAAAAGGTACAATTTTCTAGTCGTTGTAACTCAGCAACATGACTTGTAATAAAATAATGAGACAATTCAAGGAAAAACAAACTCATAATTTGTCGAATAATGTAAATGGTACATACACATTATTTTGTTTGGTTATGTTTGCTGTCAATTAACTTGCAGTGCTGCAATATTTAATACAATATTCGGCAGGAGCTGGTCAAAATGGTGATAAAATTATAAAAATGAAAATGCTGGTAATGCAATATGTAATGGAAATAATTTTATGCAAGATATCGAAGCTTACGCTAGAGCTCCAAAGGAATTGAATTTTTTCACATTGAGAGCAATTGAGTAAATAAAGAGAAATTGTTGAAAGTTACAACAATTTGAAACAAAAATATTTTTGTAAAATGTTCCAAATACTTATTCATACAAGTCTGCTAATATTAATCGTAAATTTAAATTGGTAAAACGCTGGTTCACAAAACTTCAAGTCGTGGTTGCGGGATCAGATTTGAAGTCTAAGAGTCGGAATAGAACAATTTGCTAGAGTAGTGGAAAAACCCAACTCTAATTTCGGATTATTTTGAATCTTTTTAGAAAAATTTATATTCTACCACTAATTGCTGATTGAAATGAACAATTTATTGATTTACGAATTTATTTGATGTCACATTACCTCTCCTTTGCTGGGAATTCTCAGCCATGTATTCGTTACAAACACCATTATACTCATAACAGTGGTATGCTTTATAAATTTTGGGCTTTTGTTTGAAAAATATCAAAATAGTCATTCAGTTGCAAAAATGTTTAATGCCAAAAGTTAGTCCTGATTTAGACCATGCAAGTTTACTTCTGCAATTTTAATCGTTCTCTTTTGATCGTATCTCTTACATTTATACAAGAAATTTTTTCAAGCCATTTTACTTTCTTCATCATTACCTTTTCTGTCATTATACTCTCAGCCATATGGCTACCGAAGGTATATATCCTTTTATACGGCCAAAACGTGCCTCATCTTTAGTCTCTTCGGACCAAATCTGTTTCAAGACATTTGGAGGTTATCTAGGGGTGTCCGTCCGTTCTCTGTCTGGCTGGTGCACGCGATAACTCTCGAAGGGAGTATCTGGCAATGTCTGTCAACTCCTTCTGGTATCTCTCCCACAAAAGGTTAAAATTTTCAAAGAAAACAATTTACCTTATGGAACAAAACAGGACCAATTTTGTGCAAACCTTGCAAGACCTTATATTTTTATACCCTCCACCTTGGAAAGGAGGGTATATTAACTTTGTCATTCCGTTTTTAACATCATTAAATATTCGTCGTAGACATATTCATAATCAGCATAAAATTCTAAGTCGATTTAACGATGTCCGTCTGTCTGTCTGTCTGTCCGTCTGTTGAAATCACGATACAGCCCACATTATTTGACGTAGAGTGCCAAAATTTAGCAGAGCAATTTTTATTGTGTCTAAGATGGTTGGAATTAAAATTGAGATATATCGGTCCACGTTCTGGTATAGTCCCCATATAACAGTACCTCCCGATATTCCGTATTTTGATGATTTATGCCATATTTTTTACGGATTTGTCTGAAAATTGGTATTTGTAGGTCATAACGGGTCCCTGTGCGTATGACAAAACATTGCATGTGTAGGTCCACGATTTGGTATAGCCCCCTATATAACCGTACCTCCCGATATTCGGCATTTTAATGATTTTTGCCACATTTCTTCTAATGTTTCCTTTACCCTAATGTGGAGAAGTTTGGCCCGGCCGAACTTAATGTTTTTTTACTTGTTATCAGTGCTTATGTCTGGTGCAAAAATTTACAACAACGACTCATTCTACCATAAAGGGTCAACATTTCGAATAATTATAAATTTTATTGTCTTCAAATTTCGCACACTTCAATATTGGTATAAAAAATCTGGTATAAACAACGAATAGCACGGACCACTCCTTCTGGTACCTCCCCCACAATGGGTCAAAATGTTGAATAGCCACGAGGCGCGTAAAACGCGAACTCGGCACATCCCAACATTTCTATCAATTCTGTTGTAAAAATGGTAGATATCTCGCTCCTGCTGTAAAGATGGTAGATATCTGTCCACTCCTTGTTGTCCCTCCCCCACAAAAAGACAAAATTTTCACATAAAATAATTTACGTAAAAAACAAGAAAGGATTATTCAATTTTGTGCAAACTTTGCAAATCTCAATACATACATCAGTACTATACCAGGGGCGAGAATGGGCAATATCGATCAACTCCATTATGTATCTCCCCACAAAAAAGACACAATTTTGAATAACTATAACTCTCAAATAAGCGAATCATAGCATGAAGGGTATGTTAAGTTTGTTACTCCATTTGTAACACCTAGAAGTATACATTTTATATCCTACAAGGTATAAATGTTAATCATCAGCATTAAATTCTATGTCGACTTAGCGATGACCATCCGTCTGTCTGCTGGTCCGTTCGTCTGTGAAAATCACTCTAGCTTCCGAACGAAATTAAGAAGTTAATTATTTTTTTTTTTTATATAGGCCCACGGTTTGGTATTGGCACCACATAACTGAATCGGTAAATTAAGGGTTTTATGGGTGTTTTAGTCACTGTCACTGTTTTAGTTATGTCACTGTTTTCAACGGAATTGTTTGAAATTTGGTATTTAGAGTTCGCAATGGGTACTACCTCCTATGACAGAAAATTTCCTGTGCAGGTTCAAACCATCGGATAGCCCCCAAATAACGATACCAATAAACAATATTCGGAATTTTGATGATATTAGCCACATTTTCAACAGAATTATTTTGAAATTGGTACTTGCAGTTGGTAATGTAGATGTAATGTAGAGGTCCACGGTTTAGTGTTGGCTCCATATAACTGTATCTCAATATATTCGGTATTCTGATGATATGTGTCACATTTTCCATCGGAATTGTTTCAAATTTGGTATTTGAAGTAAGTAATGGGTACTACCTTCTGTAATTGAAAATTGCCTATGCAGGTCCACATTTTCGAATAGCTCACATATTACTGTGCCTCCCTGTATAAGGCATTTCGAGCATTTTTTGATGATTTCAGCTTCATTTTTCAATTAATTTTCAATTAAGATTTATTTTAAATTTGGGGTTTGGAGCTCGCAATAAGCACCTCCCTCTCTGGCAGATATTTGGCTGTAAATGTCCACGTTTTCGTATAGACCCATATAACAGTAACATCAAAAATTCAAAAATTTTAAAATTATACCGGCATGCTCAAAGGATTTTTTACATTTTACAAGTTATTTCCAAATGGGGGAGGGAAATAAAAGTTCGGCCCAGCCGAACCTCTAAAGCTGCTATTTGCGTTAATACCATTTAGATATCTTATTTTAATCAATTAAATATCTATTTATGCACCTAAAAAGGGCATATATGTTAAAAATATAATTAATTACACTGATTACATATATTAACAAAATTGTTAATTTAACGTTTTTTTTTTCAGTGAAATTTCTATACCCGCATATTCCAATATTCTGCCAACAAAGAAGTTGAAAGACACTGTTCCACTGTGGAAATAAAAATCAAATAAAACTGTATGATGTGAAAGAGTGTTCCTCCTTGAATCGCTTTTGTTTTATGGTGAGTTCAAGCATCAATTTTGGTAAGCTATGGGAAAGGACTAATATTTAAATACAAGACATATTTGTCTGCTATTATTAGCGTGTTTGATTAAAGTTTCTGGAATGGAACTGATCTGCAATTCCAACCCGAGTAAAGTAATGTGTGGCGGAGTCGTCCCGGTTACTACTATGGGATAATGGGACCAGCGACTGCTCATACATTGATTTCGTTCATTGATTCTGTTGTTGCTTAGTAAATAACAATGATAGACAAATTATAAGTTAATAGACTATTCTAAAATAAAATACCGATATTACGAGCTCTAGGGTGACATTCACCCATAGTAGCTCGTTACTTTGCTCACTCCTGCTAACAGCCATATCACCGATGGCAGCCAGCTCGAATACAAAAATCTGAAATCTAATAACTAGTTGCCTTGCTTAAGTTGCCTTGTTTAAAAAAGTCAGGAAGATCTTCAAAAAATTAAATGTTGAAAAATTTATGATTTTAAAAGCTATAAATATACATTTTTTGGCCCAAAAACAAAAAGAAGCTCCAACTACATCGAATCATGTCTACGCTTCCTCTGGAGATGGTCCAAAAAAGTGTATAGATAGGCCTCCTCTTCGAATGCAATAAAAGTTTGATAATAAAATAACTTTATAGAAAGTTTAGATTAAATCGAAGAGATCGGTTTTAAATCTAAGGAGACTTTTTGCCTACAAACAAAATGTTCAGCAGACAGTGTAAAAATAAATATACAAAAAAGCGACTAAGCTCGGCCGGGCCGAACTGTCAATAACCTCCAACATTTTGAAGGAACTTGAAAATTTTCCAAAAAAAAAAGTCTGTCGAAAAATACCGCTCAAAGGAAAATCGTTATATGGGGTCAATATGAAGACGTTGTCCCCATTAGTATTTTTTGTAAAATGTGAATTTTGTAATAATTGCGGGGGGTAAAATACTCAGAAGCAAGCCCTTGTGTGGATTTACAGACAATTCTATTGTAAAATGTGGCTAAAATCATGAAAATACCGAATATCGGGAGTGGTGGGGGATATACGATATCATGGACCTATGTATACAATTCCCCTGGAAGGGGTAAAGCACTCAGAAGAAACTCCTTTGTGGGTTTCAGACAATTTCATTGAAAATCTGGCTATAATCATCAAAATACTGAATACCGGGAGGCATCGTTATATCGGGGCTGCCTGCCTACCTGTGTAAAATCGTAGCTTGCTATCTTAATTCGTTTTGACTCGAACGTGATTAGCCATTGAGCCACTAATCCTCATTAGTTCCCATTGTTTTTTATCTGGGATATTTTCCTCAGAAGATATTTTAAAAATATTTATATCATACTTATTAAGGTCCGAAACGAAATGGACAATATTGGCCATTTCTTCATAACCTACTTCATATTTGAATAATCACAACAGAAGTCAAAATGTATTCAAACAATCGAACATTGGCTGAGGGTATTCATCTGTCGGGAAAACCGACTGATAATTATACCTCAGCCATGTGGCTACAGAGGGTATAAATCATTTTATTCGGCCAAAACGTGCGTTATCGAAAAAAGGTTTTAGACCCTTAGGTTTCTTTGAACCAAATCCATTTCAGGACATTTGGAGTCGATCTAGCGATGTCCGTCTATCTGGCTGGGTTGTGCGCACGATAACTCTCGAAGGGGGTATCCGATTTGATCCAAAGTTGGTATATCGTAATATTATTGTAAAACTTAGATCGAGTTCGGAGATGGACAATATCGGTCCACTCCTTCTGCTACCTCCCACACAAAATGTCAAAATTTTCAAAGAAAATAATTTATTGCACAGAAAGAGAAAGGATAATCCAATTTAGGTCCAACTTTACAAAAAGTAATATTTCTATCAGTGCTATGTCATGTACGAAAATGGAAAATATCGGTTCACTGCTTTCGGTACCTCTCCCACAAAGAGTCAAAATTTTGAATAATTACAAATCTTATAAAATTTGATTTAAGAGTCCGATTGTCTTCAATTTTCAAACATAATTTTATTAAACGACAAACGGTTGAATTTTTCAAAAAAAAAAAAAAAAAAAACAAGTAAAAAAGCAGTAAGTTCGGCCGGGCCGAACTTTGAATACCCTCCACCATTTGGAACGAATTAGAATATTTTCAAAAAAAATGATATCCATTAAAAATTCTTTTAAAATCTTTAAAATATCTAATATTGGAAGGTGCCGATATGGGGGGATATACGATATTGTGGACCTATAAAGACAAATCTATGTCTGCGTGTAAAGTACTCACAAGGAACTCCTTGTGTGGATTTTCAAAATACCGAATATCGCGGGGTATCGTTATATGGGAGCTATACGTTATCGTTAACCTATATAGAGAATTCTCTGTCGGGGGGTAAAGTGCTCACAAAGAACCCCTTGTGTACAAAGAACCCCTTGTGACATTCCGTTTAAATATATGACTAAAAACATCAAAATACCGAATATCGGGGGTACCGTTATATGAGGGCTATACGATATCGTGGACCTATATAGACAATTCTCTCTCAGGTGGTAAAGTACTCACAAGGAACTACTTGTGTGGATTTTAAGACAATTCCATTGAAAAATGTGGCTAACATCATCAAAATACCGAATATCGGGGGGTACAGTTATATGGGGGATATACGATATCGTGGACCTATATAGACAATTCTTTTTGAGGGGGTAAAATGTCCACAAGGGACTCCTTTTGTGGAATTTCAGACAATTCCATTGAAAAATGTGGCTAAAATCATCAAAATACCGAATACCGTGGGGGTACCGTTATATGGGGGCTATACGATATTGTGGACGTATATAGATAATTCTCTGCCGAGGTATAAAGTACCCACAAGGAACTACTTGTGTGGATTTTCAGACAATTCCATTGAAAAATGGAAAAAATCATCAAAATACCGAATATAGGGGGTACCGTTATATGGGGGCTATACGATATCGTGGACCGATATAGCCCATCTTCGAACTTGACCTGCCTGCAGACAAAAGAGAGATCTGTGCAAAATTTTAGCTTCCTATCTTAATTCGTTTAGACTGTAGCGTGATTACAACAGACGGACAGACGGACGGAAAGGGCTAAATCGTCTTAGAATTTTACGCTGATCAAGAATATATATACTTTGTTGGGTCTAAAATGATTATTTCGATGAGTTACAAACGGAATGACGAACTTAATATACCCTCCATACCTTTTTTTGGTGGAGGGTATAAAAAAAATCTGCACAGAAAGAGAACCAATGATCTGATTTTGCTCCAACTTTGCAAGTCCTAATAATTGCGTGAAAAAAATGAATAATATCGGTCCACTCCATCAAGTCCTTCTGGTACCTTCCCCACAAAGTGTCAAATTTTTAAATAACCAAACCGTTTATAAAATACAAAATAAGCATTAGGTTTACATTTTTTATTTATATTATATTTCACACAGCCCATTATTTTCACTAAGAAGATGGGATATGTCGGTCCACTCCTTCTGGTACCTCCCCCACAAAGACTCAAAGAAAGCAAAATAAGCATCGAACTCTCCTCAAATTTCACAAAGAAGATGCTATATATGTCTCCGAACCTCTTCTGGTACCTCACCCACAAAGGGACACAATTTTCAATACTATTATCTGTCCTAAATTGCGAAATAACCCAGCGATTCTTACAACTTGCTCCAAATCTAAATATATGTCTCTCAACCACAATACTTACATGAATATAGAATTTTTCATCTTCCATAAATTGGATATAAATGTACGATTTTCTTGTAATATTGCCCATACCAATACTTTTATATGTATTAGATGAAGCTTGAAAATGGAATGCTTCGATCGACTATATCTCGTACCTCACGCACATGTAAACATTTTCTAAACATTATCATATATGTCATGACAAGTGAAGGAAGTTACCAATATAGTGCAAACCTCACACGTCGCAATATTTATATCATATTTATTTAGGTCCGATACGATATTGGCCAATATTGACCCATTCTTTCGGAACCTACTCCATAAGGGGTTAAACATTTGAATAATCATAACAGAAGTCAAAATATTTTTAAGTAATCGTACATTAAAGGCCTGCACAAGACGAATTGTATGAATTATGCTTTTTTCGACACACTGACTTTGTCTACTCAATCATGCGCTATGTATTTGATAGGCAATGACAACCAACAACATCCCCAATTTTGATTCATGTGTGCCATTGTCTAAGGTTCGATCGTGGCATGGCTGACTCGAATATTTGCATGGTGTTCTCCATAAATGCAGGGTGTCAACGATGACATCGAACCGTGTCATCGTCAAAGTGTGTGCCATTTGTGTACGTGTGCTTAAATTGAGAGAGTGTGTGTGTTACTTTCGACGGTGAGGATGTGTTTTTGTGTGCGCTGTAATTTTGAAGTAACAAACACCGCGTAAATATAAAATTGAGTTCAATAACAAAATGTGCATAGACATCAACAAATGAATAGAAAAAATGAAATATTTACTGAACAATCCCAATTTATTGGTGATTATCATAAAATGTTGGTCATAAAAAAGAGGTAAATATTGTTTGCCTATTTTCTATCTACATAAAGTGTTCTTTTAAAATTAAAGTTTGTGGGCAGAGATTTGACTATCATTCAATAACAGAATATGCACAGAATTGAACAATGGAGGTATATAGTGTTGTTACGTGAATTACAGTAGCACTCATTCTCATTTACACATCACTACCGGAGGCAAACATTTACGAAATTATAATCAAAATAAGAAATTTTTTCAGGAGATTATTGTTTTTTATAAGGATTAACATTTTAGATTGTTTCGTCAATAACCACGAAATGTGAAAATTTTGTGTGGACCAATTAGAAGTGCCTTTAATATTTTAGTATTCGCCAAGAAATTATTACAAAAAAATTATTCTTTCACATATCGGAAAAGCAGGTAGCGATTGCGCTTTGCCTTCATCACGCGTGTGTCTTTTTCGTTGGCAGTTGTTTCATAATTGTTGTTGTTTTTTTGATAGAACATTTTTGTATGACACACTATTCAACATTCCCTTTTATTGGTCATTACATGTTATGACGATGGGTTTGAGTGTGACCGACATGACGAAACATCGAGCATTTGGTTGGATGTCACGTACTGTTATGCGTTTGATCAAACAGGGCACAACATGACGAGCGTTTTCTCTCCATGACATAAATAGAGAAAATTGTCACATTTGCAGCCCTTTATCGTACATTGGCTGAGGGTATACATCTGTCGGTAAAACCGAGAGATACTCTTCAACTTGTTTTTAAATTCTTTTGATAATTTTTTTCGCCCCTTAACAACAAGGTTTCAAAAGAGGAAACATTCTACACGAAATTTCACTGTAAATCTCGGAATAAGCCAAATGTATGTGTGGTCTGATAGTTTTTATGAAAAGTATATTCGAAATGTATGTATTTGCTTTCCTTGCTGTTAATTTAACACGTATTCTATCCGAGTCAATAACTGCCTTTATACTTAATTTTTTGGAGATAATGTCAAAGTAAGAATTATTCTAAATTAAAATTTCATTGTGAGTCTCTGAACAAGAGAAATTTGTATACTTAATATGTACAATAAAAAATTACATAAATTATTGTTAATAAAAATCTAGTTTATTTCTAAAAATTGAAGCACTTTTCCCAATTTACCACATGTTTTCTTATAATTTTACTGCACTATACCAGTCTGGGTTGTGGAAAATTCCAATTCCAATTCAATAACAAGAATGAATAGAGACAGAATGTAGCAACCAAAAAGATTTAGTAATCTCAAAATGGACATCACTAGTATTACTTCCACATTTGAGATGTTTAGATTAACGCAGTGGGTAAAAGGGACTAATCTATTTCCGTACCCATAACTAAAAGTTACACGTTGGGCAGTGATTCATGTTTTCGAAGAGTTTCATTAGCTGCATTTGTTTACTGAAGACAATGCCATGCTGCACCTTAGCATATGAAACACGCAGATATTTCAAAAAACTCATGTTTTCTAGTTATTTTCCGTTGATAGCCATATAATAATATTTCTTTATGGTGACGAATAGGTGTTGTTCATGCCCTAGTGAACTTTTATTTGCCTCAGCTCTTGGACAATAACCGGTTCGGACGTTAATGTTGTTCACGTGCACTAACTAATAATTTTGTTTTTTTTTTTAATTTTAAAACAATTGTTGCAAGACACATTTAAAGTGGAGCCTGTTTTGTGCGCCATTAAAAATTTAATGGCTTAGACCATATTTCAGCGGGTTTCTGCTGTTACATTCTGTTTATTTTAAATATTATTATTTCCATGTAATTATGTATGACCCGATTATGATACATGCATAGAGTTGAAACGGTCGTTGTTAGTATGTGCAATACGATGTCTCCTTGTTGCTAAAACCATTTACAGCCGTTCCAAGTGAATGAACAAAAAAATTAAAATCAAAGAATGACCAGTCTTTTTAATGTTTAGCTCTTTTTGTCGTTTTTTTTAATTTAAATTGCCTAATTTAAACATATTCGTTTAACCTATATTTTTCTTAAATTCGTGAAGGTAAAATTTTGAAAGGAGCTTTTCTATAACTGAGGACCAAATAGAAGAAGATCGTTTGAAAAGTAGCGAAAACATTCAAAATCTTTTATGACAATATTAAAAGATTTAGAAAGAAAATTGTAGAATCAAAACCAATTGTCAGTAGCTGATTTTATTTACCTTTGTTGTTTTGATATAGCAATGAAAAGTTAATTATGTTAAGCGATTTTAACCGGTAATGCAGTGTTCAACCAACACTGATAACGTCAATACAATGGAAAATTAGACCCAAACTTTTAGTTTTCTTAAAATTTTGTATGTCGCGTAGCTTTACAATACTTTCGTCTCTAAAATTATTTGGGATCTGAAGCTAATATTTTGCATGTAGCCGTATTACCCTAGAAGCTAAATTGTGTGATGGTGCAAATTTCTAGGTAAAACCGCAGGGTATAAATATGGACTATTCCAATGATAATTTTGAAACCGTTTTTCAAAGTTTTCAAGATAAAACTATGCTAAAATATAGAAATATTATTTTAAGTAGAAAAACAAATATTTTGTATTATTTGCTTTCTTTATCAAAATTGATAATTTTAAAATGGAGTCATCGATTACAGTTAGTTATTAGAACCCATTATGACCAACAAATACCAATTTTCAGAATTTCCGTGAAAAAATGTGACAAAACCCATCTAAGTACCGAATATCGGAAGGTACCATTATATGAGGGCTATACCGAAGCGTGGACCCATACATACAATATATCGCCACGGCAGCCAGAACCCGTTATGCCCAACAAATACCAATTTTTAGACAAATCCTTAAAAAAATTTGGCGATAATCATCAAAATACCGAACATCGGGAGGTACCGTTATATGGGGACTATACCAAAACGTGGTCGGATATATCTCATTTTCAATACCAACCATCCTAGACACAATACAAATTGTTCTGCTAAATTTTGACGGTCTACGTCAAATAATGTGGGCTGTATCGTGATTTCAACAGACAGACAGACGGACATCGTTAATCGACTTAGAATTTTATGCTATGCTATATATTCATATACTTTATGGGGTCTACGACGAATATTTATGGATGTTACAAACGGAATGACAAAGTTAATATACCCTTCTTTTCAAGGTGGAGGGTATAAAAATAACATTGGCCAAAAATTCTGTTAAAATCTTAAAAATACCGAATATGACCGTTATATTGTTATAACTTTTGTCATATTAATATAGCTAAAATCATAAAAATACCGAATATAGAGAGATACTGATATATGGGGCCTATACGAAGACCTGGACCTGCATAGACAATTTTCTGTCGTAACAAATCGTAACGAAATTTGAAACAATTCGGCGAAAAACGTCCCTCGAATCGTCAAAATATCGAATATCGGGGGGTACCGTTGCATGTGGGCTGTACGATATCGTGGACCTATATAGACATTTCTCTTCCAGGGAGTAAAGTGCTTCTAAAGAACTTCTAATATGGATTTTTACAATTCCATTGAAAAATGTTGCTGAAATCATCAAAATTCCGAATATATAGAGTTACCGTTATATTGGGGATATACCCTATTGCGGACCTATATTGACGATAATCTTCCAGGGGTGAACTACCCAGAAGGAAATCCTTTTGTGGATTTTCAGGCGATTTCATTGAAAAATGTGGCAAAAATCATCAAAATACCGAACATCGGGGGTACACGATATCGTGGACCGATATAGCCCATCTTCGAACTTGACCTGCCTGTAGACAAAAGACTGACCTGTGCAAAATTTTAGCTTTCTATCTTTATTCGTTTCGACTGTAGCGTGATTACAACAGGCGGACAGACGGACGGACGGAAAGGGACTAAATCGACTTAGAATTTTACGCTGATCAAGAATATATATACTTTGTTATGTCTAAAATGATTATTTCGATGAATTACAAACCGAATTACGAACTTAATATACCCTCAATACTATGTATGGTGGAGGGTATAAAAAACGAACGGACGGACGGATGTCTCCAGATGGACTCCAAATATTCTAAAACTGATTTGGCCCAAAGAGGCCTAGGGTCTAAAACTGTTATTTCGATGAGGTACGTTTTGACCGTATTAAATGATATATGCCTTCACTAGACATATGGCTGAGTGTATAAAGACTCCGTTATTGTTTCACTGATTGACAGTGAAACAAGACACGAAACGTTCATGAGCTATTTAAACCAATGTTGCCAAAAAGATAACATCTAAAAAATCAATCTCTATAATAAATATTAAACTTTGTACATTTCTTTGTAGTAAAATGTTATTCTCTAGTTTTTATTACTCACCACTTAGACACACACACACATTACATGTATGCAACATTTCAGTAAGCATTTATTATTATTTTTATTTTAATTTTTTATTTATTTATTTTTAACAGAGCCTTAACGTAGAAACAATAAAGATACAAGTATTTAATATTTTGTGTAAATATATAAAAATGAAAATTGTTTTGACCATTTTGTGGTTGCCTCCAGTTGTAAACCACCCCCATCGATTGGTCTGACTAATTTCAGAAGCCATAACTTTTGGGGGAGTAATCGCCTGGAACTTGCCACAAACTGGTTGACTTTGCTTCTTTCGTTCTGCAAGAATTTTTAAATTTCAACTTTTGTTAAATTTCGACAAAGTGAAAAAAAAAACAGTTCAATAAAGTTTTCCTCTGTTGTTGTTGCACTTGGTAGATGTAGTTGTGAGAAGGCACACACCCACACACACACAGATACCGACTGACATCCTTTTGCCGTTTTTGTTTTCGGTTTTAATTTCGTTGCGAAATCATCTAAGTTCACTTAAAAACTAATAAATTTCTCTAACAAGACCATGAAATGGACGGATCGGCGAATGGATGGATGATGGCGACGGTGATGACGGTGCCGATGACAGCTGAACTAAAACTTAGTCAAACCGAACAGAAAAACAAAAACAAAAAACAACTTTTAAAGTCACTGACTGACACTCACTTTAGAACAGACGATTGTTAGTTTTGTCTATCGCCATGGATACTGGGAGGGGGTTTCACTCCCCCCAAAAAAAGGATGCTGAGAACTTCCATCGAAATTCTGGATGACCAGTCAGACTTGTCAAGAGAACGCATTTCACATGGATTCTCCAGAGAGTTTTGCATTAGTTGGCCATTCTGATTGAATCGGTGGTGCAGTGGTTATCATGGCAAAGTTACAAACGCATAGCCGAATGTTTTTACAAAAACCATACTCTACGTCACCAAGAATTCAAGATAGATTCCGAAACTGCTTTTGATAAATTTCGAATGAATATGAAATGTTATGTGGTGTTTGAAATGTCATTGAGTGCAGAGAAACTTTGAAAATGGCAACACATTTTGCAGGGAAAGGATAGTCGTTTTTTGCACGTCCATGGCTCCATGTGTGAGTGTTGAGGTTGATTTCAGCTGCAACAGATGCTGCCGTTGAGGATGATGGCGTTTGCTGACGATGACGATAATGATGGTTTGATGGTCTTATTTGAGTTGCACCAACACCATGAAATATGTGACAACGGCACCCAGGACCTGGAGGAAAAACCACAAGTTACTTATTTATGAATTACAAATTCAATTATGGATTTAGAAGAATAACAAAAACAATTTGAATTGATTTTGGATTATGTAAAATGGAAAAATATATCATTTTGACAGAATGTTGATAAGAGGTGGTCTATCCACTTTTGAAGGGAAATGTTTTGTGTTTCCTCATTACTTACCGAAGCAAACAAATCCAATGATACGGTAAAGAATTTTGCACCCGATATAGACATGGCCTTCTGACATTGCTGACAAACGATTTGGACAAAAGTTTTAGCTTCCTCAGAACCGTCGTACCAGTGGCAAGAATATGCAGCTTCCATAACCGATGAACTCTGCATTTGAAAAAAGGGCAGATTAAAAATCAAATAATTAGATAATATAGACATGTACTTTTTTACAGATATATAAAAGTGTACTAAGAAACAGTAAGCGTGTAATTAAATATCAGTTTATTGGATACTTGTTTTGAATATTCCAAATAAAAAATTTTGAAAAAAGATTTTGGAATAAAAGTACGTTTTAACACCAAAAATTCAGCATACGTCCCTTTTAATGTTGTCCACCATACTCTTGAGGATATGTTAAATTATCATTCCATTCGCAACTCTTCCAAATAAAACTATTCACAATTTGACTAATTTTGAAGTATGACAATGAGTTTCATTAGATATAATTGGATTTCCATCAATCTTTTCTACAAAAAAATTAATTTGTCAATAGTTTCTACGCCTCCTTCATCTCAAACAACCAAGAAATTTTGCACGACTTACGAAAAAATGGAAAAACTTAAATCGGGATAGCTAAGGGGTAAAAATATATTTTTGCCTGGAGTCAGAGACAATTCTAACTCCAGCGAAATTGTACAACTCCGCAATCCTATTTTGAACTCATTTCTATTTTCAAACCATATTTCTGTCAAAATGCATTTTTTATTACATTTGTAATAAAAAAATTAAAAAGTATCAGTCGGTTGCATACCCTCAGTCCATGTTAGTTTTTCTACCCTCAGTCATATGGCTACTGAGGGTAGCCATGTGATACGACCAACACGTGCCTCATTGAAATAACGGGCTTAGACCCTAGGTCTCTTTGGCCCAAATCCGTTTCAGGACATTTGGTTCGCACGATTACTCTCAATAGGGAGTATCTGATCTGGTCCAAACTTGGTACATCGTAAAATTATTACCAAACCTAAATCGAATTCGGAGATGGGGGAATATCAGTCCACTCCTTTTGGCACTTCCCCCACAAAAGCTCAAAATTTTAATAGAAAATAATTGAACTTATAGAAAGATATGGGATTATTCGATTGTGTGCAAACTTTGTGCATCCCAAATATTTTGCCAGTGTTATGTCAGGTGCGAAGATTGTGGAATAATTATAACTCTTATTAGATATGAAATAATAGTCCGATTCTCTTCCAATTTCACACATCCTAATATTTTTATCAATACAAGATCTGATGAAAAGATTGTATATATCGGTCAACACTATCAAGTGCATCCCCCACAAAGGTTCAACATTTTGAATAATCATGATGCTCATAAAACGCGAAATGAGCATCCGACTCTATTCAAATTTCGCACATCCTAATATTTGCACTAACACAAGAGCTGGGGTGGATTCTTGTTCTATGAAAATATGAAATGAAAAATATTTCCTTTATAAAATTCTTCATTCGACATTTCTTTCCTTTATAAGTTTTCATTTCACATTTTCATAGAACAAGAACTGGGAGCCTGGTGTTTAACCTCACCACTCGCTCTGGTGCCTCCCCCACAACGGGTCAAATTTTTCAGTTATATATTATACCCTCGTAAAATACGAAATAAGCATTATATTCTATTTAAATTTTATTAACGCAAATTCTAGCTTGAAAATTATAGATATCGTCCTTATACCTCTCAAACAAAGGTAAATTGTAAACCTTATACCTCCCCAATACTTGTACCTCTTATAACAATTCTTTTCAAAATTGATATAAAAAATATTTTTCTCAATTAAAATTCTGATCTCTACCTCTCCCACCAAATATTAAAACTATCTTAACGATTATTCCTTCAAATTTTGCCCATCCAAATAATTTGATCAGTGTAAGATGAAGTGGACTGCTATGGTCCAATATATCTTGAACCTCAAGCATATTTCAGTATTTTCCAAAAATTATCATATATCTTATGTAAAGAGAAGGAAGTAGTCGAAATAGTCCAAACCGGGCTCTCTGTAGTATATATCAGAGTTAGTTCAAATGAGAAGTGGACGAAATTGGTTCACTCCTTCGGAATCTCCTCCACAAAAGGTCAACTTTTTAAACAATCATAATTTAAGTCAAACATATATTAATATGCTGAAATAGGCTGAGGGCATACAGTTGTCGGCAAAACAGACTGATATTTATACCCTACAACACTATGTGTTGGGGGTATTATAAGTTTGATTGGGCCAAAAATTATGTAACACCTCGAAATATTGGTTTCCCACATAGGAAAGTATATATGGATCTTCCTATCTCGCCGAGCTGAGTCGATCTAGCTATGTATGTCCGTCCGTCCGTCTGTCCGTCTGTCCATGTTAATTTGTAATCACGCTACAGGTCGCAATTATGGCCCGATCCTAACGAAATTTTGCACGAAGGTGGAGTTAGGGTCAGAGTAGAAGCCTATTTCTTTTGGAGATGATCGCCAAATGTTTAGGGGTTGAAATTCGGAATTTCGGAATTCGCGGAATTTCGCATGTAGCTAGAGTTTAGGGCGGGGAAGAGGCTTACCAATTTGGGTGGTCATCGGATAATATTTAGCGGGTAAAATATACCATATCTTTTGTGTTAAAAAAATTCAAAATTTTTCATTAAACTGCGAATATTTTAAATCCCCGCGAAATCACAAAGCCATGACAAGGTTACTCCTGATCTTTACATTGATGTTAACATCCAACAAATCGGATATATAGCAAAATTTGTGCGATATATATATCTATCAAAGAAGATATGCTTGAAAGATCTCTTATATGTCGAGAACGGCTGAACTGATTTCGACAGTTCTCATTAATTCAAAATGGCCTCTTGGCAGGAAAGAAAAAACGTCTAAAAAAATCGCATAAAAATATCTCTCTAAAGGTGAAAATATTGATTTTGTAACATTTTCTCATAGTTTTTTTCAAATTTGTCATATTTTTGGCATATTTTCAATTTGAATTAAACATTTGGTAATATTTCTACAGCTAACAAAACTAAGTAGTTAGGATATCAGGATATTATATACAGATCGCATTTATGGCCCGATCCTTGCGAAATTTTGCATGGGGATAAGATGAGGGTCAGAATAGAAGCCTTCTCTTTTTGGAGATGATCGCCATATATTTAGGGGTTGAAATGGACCAAAAAACTGCAAAATTGTGAGCAGGTCGTAATTATCGTCCGATCCTAACGCACATTTGAATGAGGGTTACCGGACATTGCAAAAGCCAAGCAGTTTTGGATGGCCATCTAAAAATATTCAATGTGTGAAATAGTTAGCCAACTTTTGTAGACAAAATAAGAAAATGTCCATTTCAGTGACTTTTTGGAGAATTCACAAATACAGGAAAGACGCACTTCTGACTATTTCGTTAACGCTGATTTCATTGAATAATATAATCAAATGTCTGTATCTCATATAGATGCATTTCAGTCAAAAACCAATAATAAATGTTAATCTTCTGCCACTTTTGAAAGATTATAGGTCTTTGGGAAATATTGGTTCTAGATCTAGAAAGACTATTGGAAATGAGCAAATTAGTTTAAGTTGCTATTATTGGAAAATTAGAGAACGAAACCTGATGGTTTTTTTTATTATTTGTCACAATATCTTGTGGAATTCTTTCGTGTATCTCGCCTATATAAACTGTATCGTTTATTATAGTGTTGTAGGGTATTTAACAGTCGGCCCCGCTCGACTGTAGCGTTTGCTTACTTGTTTTTAACTTGTTTTTTATTAATTAATGTATTCTGTTTGAAAACACCTCGAGATAAACATTTTAGACCCCACAGGGTACATATATTCTTAATCTGCATATAATTCTATGTCGATTTAAGGATGACCGTCCGTCTCTCTGTCTGTCCATCTGTGAAAATCACTCTACCTTCCGTACGAATTGAAGTAGGTTGATGAATGTTACTCAAATGTGTGTTTTATATGCAGGACTTTTGGTATTGGAAATGGGCTACATATGTCCACGTTTAGTTATAGGCCTTATATAACTATACTTTTCTATATCTGGTATTTTGATGATTTTAGCGTCATTATTTACCGGAATTGCTTTAATTTTTGTAATGGTACTACAGTCTGCGACAGATAATTGACTGTGCAGGTAGAGGTTTTCGTATAGCCCCATATAACGGCACCTCCCTATATCTGATGGTTTTAGCTACATTAGTCTCCGGAATTGGTTCAAATTTCGTATTTCGTATTTTCCATATTCGGTATTTTGATGATTTTAGCGGAATTGAATTGATTCAAATTATTTGCACTTCGTAATGGGCACTACAGTCTGTGACAGACTGCTAATGTAGGTCCACGTCTTCGTATAGACCCCAAAATAACGGAACTCCCTACATTCGGTATTTTTTAGATTTTAACAGCATTTTTACGGGTTCTAATTTTTATCTTATTTATTTTTTTAAATTTCCAAATGGTGGAGGGTATTCAAAGTTCGGCCCGGCCGCACTTACAGCTTTTTAACTTGTTTTTTTTTTAATACATCAATCTGATCTTTTATGGGAAAGGTTCTAAAGGAGTGAGCCGGTATTGTCTACTAAGACTGATATAAATATTACAATTTGCTAGATTTGAACTATGTCGACTATTTTTATCCCATATTCACAACAGATTTTGTGCTAGTAGAAATATCGGAATGTTTGAAATTTGAAGTGAATCCAATGTTAATTTCGCATTTTTCAAAAAGTTTTAATTATTCAAAATTGTAAACAGTTTTTGGGGAGGTGCCAAAGGAAAATATTGTGTTGAAAGAAATGTTGGGCTGTACCGTGTTTTGAAAATAATCGGATATTAATTTAGAGTTTTGTGAGCTTCATGATTATTCAACATTTTTATTCGTTGCACGAGAGGTACCTTAAGTCGTGATCATGGCGAAAATCACAAAATTGCTTAGAAATTTACGCTCATCATGAACATATGTACTTTTTAGGGTCTAAGATGAGTATTTGGAGGAGTAGCAAACGGAATGACAAAATTAATATACCCTCCCTCCCTCAAAAATATTGATTTAGATCATCACTTGCTCAATTTGTTTTCCAACTACTTTTTGCAAGCGCATTCAAAAATCTATTTTAATCACATTATTGAGAATACCATTCTTCAAAAAAACTCGCATTTCACTTTGCAAAAGCGTCGAAAACAACTTCTTCTTCTTCTTTGGGACAAAGGAAAACTTATTTTTTGCTTATTATTTTATTTACCAAATCTATGGAAATGGCACTGACAAAGCACAGACCAAAGAATCCCCAGGATAGATTTGGGCGCTGCAAGTGGGGGGCAAGGGGTGGATGCTGTTATCAAAGTTTGGAATTACAAAAGCTTTTGAGTGCATTTCCGGCTTACGAATTTTTGGGGATGAAGTTGAGTACCTAACATGACATGAGAGTGCACTTCAGGCGGATGTTGGTCATGGCCCGGTCTGTAGTTTGGGTTCGTTCGTTGTGCTTTTCATGGTCAGTTGTTGTCCTGTCCTGTTGAGGTCTTTCCAAACATTTCTGCCAAAGGCAAGACAAACAAGCAAGACGACAACAATGGGAAAGAAAAAAAAAGCAGCAGCAGCATGTAGACATGCACTTTTGTTGTGTTCATGGTGCGGAAGTTCTTTTGGCCACGTCAGCCAATGGATAGTTGCGTGTGTGTGCGAATGTGTGCGAGTGGCAAGTTTGCAGATCCAAGTAAAGTTGCATTTCCTAGTTTGGACTTCGGGAAGAAGGAAAACCCACAGTCAGCCAAATTGTATTTTTTCATGTCGAATCGAAACGAAACGAATTGAATGAATTGAATTTACTTTCTGCCGTTTGCTTAATGTGATTTGCTTTCGGTTGTTATTTTCTGCGGCGGGGCTGTGTTTGTTTGCCTAATGGGAATGGTGGGGGGAAGTGTGGGGACGGAGTGGGGATTCACAGACGACTACTTACCTCCTCAATTAAACGATTGCCAAAAATACAGAAGTGGAATACTTGGGCCAGTGCATAGCCCAAGTAACCGATCACAGTGAAAGCGTAAACATTTACACCCGTGATTTTGGTTGCCTGGTACGCCAACAGCGTTAATTTAATGGTCGATGTCAACATGTGAAGCAACAGGGCGGCACCGTATGTATCACCAATGGCAGCTACCAATCTGGAAAATAAAATAGAAACACACACAAACAAACACAAATACATGAAGTAAATATTGTGACATTTTTCCGATAAACAAACGTACATACGTACACACAAAAGGATTCTATGAAAGAGATTTTTTGTGTGTTTAGATTTTTTAGTATGGGAGGTAAAATGTCCTTTTTTCAAAACATATTATTAAATTAATTTGGAAATTGCCTTTAATAGCTCATGGAAATTGATTATATATTTTTTTAATAGAAACAAAAATATTTTTTTAAATGGCGATAAAATTGGTAAAACATTAAATTTCACAGAAAATCTATTAGCTGCAGTTTTAGCTTATCTACGTTTGATAAAATTTATTCGGTCTGCGACGTCTGCCAAATGGCTACAGTACATGTTATGCAGGGTGGGATAAAAAACTGCAACAAAGTCAAATGCCTTCATTTTTACTTTTTTTCAATTTTATTGAATGAAAGTAAAAATGTCGGAAATAGCATAAAATTTTAAGCACGAATTATGGCCTTCAAACGGTCAATGAGAACGTCACACGCTGCCCGAATGTTGCTCTGCGGTATTTTGGCCCATTCCAGGCGAAGCGCTTGCCTGAGGTGATAGACACTTTGGTATTTTTAGTGCCAACCTTGCTTTCCAAAATACTCCAGACACAATAGTCCAACGGATTGGTATTCGGAGATTTTGGTGGCTATTATGCGCGTGAAAGGAAATGAAGCGAGGAAACTCATTTTGTAACCATTCCTGGGTGGCACGTGCTGAGTCCTGTTGGAATGCCCAAGCTTTGCGGCCAAAATGTTTCCGTGCCCTAGGCTTTAATAGTCCTCTAGAATATTTTCGCGATAATATTCCGCATTTATTCTGAAGCCACGGTCGATTAATACGAGCAGAGATTGACCATCGGCTGTTATGCCGGCCCACACTATCACCATGGCCGGCGCTTGAGTTCTGGTGGCTAACCGAAGGTGCACATTTTCAGCTGACCTCTTTGGCAAGTAAACACGATCAATTTTGTTTGTTTACAAACAAATGTTTTCTTATCGGAGAAAACCAAATTCGGCAGTTCACCACTTTTGAGTCTACTTTCATTCCGTTGCGGTGTAAGTTCATGCACTTTTTGGAATTTCAATGGCTTTACCCCGAGCTCATTTTTCAATATTTTTTCCGAATGGAATATTGCGATATGTTCAGCTAACGAGCCATTTTTCGGCCACTGCGACGCGGGCTTCTATCAAGTCGCTTCTTTACTTTTCGAACCATTTCTGCTCATGTTGCTGTTTTCTTCCGTCCACTTCTTTTACGTCGGGCTACGCTACCAGAATCACGGTAACGAGCGATGGTACGAGACACAAAAGATTTATTCACATTTAAATGCTGGGGTGCTCTAACGATAGCCACCTGTGGTTTTCCAGCCAAATATAAAGAAATCACACTATCACGCTTGAATTCCATCACGAAAAACTTTTTTTCTGGAAAATTCTGACCAAAACGTTTTTGTACGCTTGTAAACAATGTAATGAGCTGTTACTGGAATAATTATAACAGCTGTCGGATGAGTGGCTTAGAAATGACAGCAGTCTGAAGTTGGTTGCAGATTTTCCACCTCACCCATTGTGTATTGTGTCATGTTCTGACACAGGAGCTAGAACTACAAATACAAATTTTTTGATAAATCCGTGAAAAAATATGTCTAAAATCATCAAAAACCGAATATCGGAGGAACACTTACATGAGGGCTATACCTAGATGTGGACCCATAAAAAAATTGTTGTACCAAATTTTGAAGCTCTACGTCAAATAAAGTGGGCTGTATCGTATATCGATTTCAACAGACAGAAAGACGGACGCCATTAAATGGACTTAGAATTGTCTGCTGATCTTGAATATATATTTCCTGACTCCCGTCCTCCTTTCAAGTTGGAGGGTATAAAAACATACATGCATCGTCTAAAGAGACTACTTCAGAATTTTAGCGCCAACAGTACAATATTTAGTAATTCTTAGTACCATTGTTTAGAGACAACAACTTTTTCATTTTTTGCATCATGATTCGGAGTCTAATTGTACAAATTGTAGTAAATTTTTGATATTTCAAATATTGAATTTCAGAATACTACTGCTGTAAAAATTCAATATTTAGTACTTTCTACTTCGTTTTTAGTACAATTTTCCATTAGTCACCACCTGAACTGACGCCTCGTAACAATCGATATTCTAGTTCAAAAAGAAAAGGAATCTATCGCCAGAACCTGCCTTTAGTTCCGTTTGTAGTACAAGTTTCTAAAAATACTATATAATTGTGGCCTTCTTCTGAAATGTGATTTTTCTAATACGAATTTTTACCTGCATTCAAATTTTCATGATTCCAAACCAAGCCGATTTTCTTGAGTGCTGATAGGGCAGACACTCATGTTTTGGAATTTCATATGTGACCAGACGTTGTCAAGCGGCGGTCTGGGATGATTTTTTTATACATTTTTTAAACATTTGCTTGAAAAGTTTATACTTTGTCTATTGGGCTGCTACTAAATGAATTCAAAATATTGCTATTTTGTGTCGGTATTATCCAATTTTCACATGTCTTAAATGTAAAACAAATTATATATATGATCCACGATCGTTTTACATTTTCAACTTCATTAAAGTTTGAGCCGAGTTGGACACTCCCTTAGAGCATATCTAAGAACCGACGGCCATGATTAGACCGACTGTAACTGGTTTCGCCCAATGAGACATGGAGCCTACCCATTATTTCGATGAAGCAAATTTTGATAATCGCAATGATATACACCATATCCGTAACACATACATATAATATATTTAGTATATGTACGTTTCGTTTTATGTATAGTACGTTTCGCTCGGAATACAACGACATATTTTTTGTGTGTTTTTCTTGTCTTCCCCTACACAAATGTATATTTGGTTTGTAATTTTAACGAAACATTAATATATTTTCTTCTTTGACAGTTATCCAATGACAAATATTAATATATGTTGACTTCAGTCTAACATTGCCCTGCACACACACACATCGTATGAACGTTTGTAGTAAAAAAGTTGTGTTGTGCTGCTGAATAAAAATGTTTTATTTTGGATGTCCCAAATGGCCTTGGTTGTTGAATTTATGTTTATTACATTCAATAAATCAATAATTTTTGTTTTCATTTCGTATTCGACCTTGTAAAGTAGTCTTGGATAAGACAAATGAAATGTTACTTAAATGATGTAGACCCCAGATTATAACAATATGTCTTTAGTTGATGCTTTAAATATTTACTTTAAATTTACTTTAAATATTTACACTTACTCTTAATTGATCATGACTTCGCAAAGAAAAATATATTAAAATTGTCAGCTTAATACTTTTTAGTTAACTGCATTATCGACTTTATCTACATTATGCCTAAAAGTATGTTGCAATTTTGAAAAAATGAAAATACATATTTGTGCGTTGAGTCTGTCTGCTTACTTTTGTGACAGTATTTTGTAAGAAATTTGAAGTAATAGTATGACAATTTTTCTCACTCCATTAAAATGTCCCAATTACATGTATTATTTTTAGTCAGAGTTTGCAAGCCTTTATATAATTTGTTAAAACATGTGTCTTTTTCCACCTAGCCACTACCAATAGATTGATGGTACATTAACTTTTCATTTAGTTAGGTTTATGTTATGAATAAGAAAGATATGGATCAACTTTTAGACATAAGCCCCTTAATATTTTCTGTATTTTGAAGGCCTTGCCAACATATTCCAACTAAAATTTGGAGTTTCAATTATTATCTGAGACAAATTTCACAATTGATTGCATATTGATTGCATAGCGTTCAAAATTGAAATGATCGAATGTTGATTTCGAATTACTTGAATAAAAATTCGAATTTGAGATAGAAAAATGTCAATTTACAAATGAAACAAGTAAGCAAAGTGCACATAAGGGCTGGGCCGATCATATCAAACCCTAAGCCTGAGACGACCCCTCAGAAATAGGTACTTTTTGCCATTTTTATACCAGCAGCCTAAAAATTATCGGTTCGAGGGCTTATATCATTTGATACGGGCAAAACGTAGATCGTAGATAGGCAATATCGGTCCACTCCTTCTAATACCATCCCCATAAAAGTCCTAAATCTTCTAAGAAAATAATTTTCCTCATAGAAAGAGTCCTACCTCTTTGGATTTTGTCCAAACTTTGGAGATCTCATTATATTTGTCAGCGCTAGGACAGGTGCAAAAATTGATAAAATCGGCTCACTCCATCAAATACCTGCCAAACAAAGTGCCGAAATTTGGAATAATTATCACTCTTAAAATATGTGAAATAAGCGTCCCAATATTTTTATTTTATATCGATCCACTCCTTCTAGTACCTCACCCATAAAGAGTCAGCATTTTGAATAACCACGAGGCTCATAGCACGAGAAATGAGCATCCGATTATTTTCAAAATCGGCATATATTTATATCAACATAATAATAGGTGTGTATATAACGGACCATTTCTGGAGAGTCCCTCACAAGAGGTCAAAATTCTGAACAATTCCTTTACTAGTAAAATGCGAAGAAACATAAGATTCTCTTCAAATTTCACATATTCCAACATTTATGCTTATACAAGATCTGGTGTATATGGTACAAAGAGGTCAAAATTTTGAATAAACAAAACGCACATAAAATGCGAAATAAACTTCTGATTCTCTTCAAGTTTTACACATCCCTTTCTGGTACCTCCTCCACAAAGGGGTGTAATTTTAAACACATATGTATCTCACAACTTGCGGAACAAATCAGCGATTCTATTCAAAACGGGTGTATCTAAATATTTCTCTCAACCAGAGATCTGGTGTGTATATGGAGTTTATCGAAACACTCCTTCACGTAATTCTCCCACAAAAGATTATAATTTTGATTAACAATTATTCACATAAAATTGAAAATACAGGGTAAGATGAAAAAACTGCAACCAACTTTAGACTGATGTCATTTCCAAGCCACTCGT